TCTACTCATGCACTCGTAAGTGGGCGATGAGCGGGCGATCGTTGGGCGATTAATTTTATCTGGAGACAAAGCTTGATGTTTTATGTTCACGTTTTATTGTCAAGGGGTATTTTAAATTTAAACGCCCATCTAAGTGGTGGCCCAAACTTCGTATTATGAGCAGGCATTTGGTCACGTGCAATGCTTAAAGTTTTTTGAAGTCTTAAATGTGAAGCTTCATTTCGAAGTATAGGCCAGCATTAAGGATGTATTTATATTTCTTATTGTTGATGGCATTCAGCCGGCAACAAAATGTTCGCTATTGCTTTATATTTTTCTTGTCACGCAAGATCTCTTTAACATTTGAAATTTTATATCTGCTTACATGACAAACTAAATACTAAGTATTGCCTTGACATTTCACACGACATTCAGACTTGTCTTAAATATTGCGGACACCGTAGTGTAAGCGATTGGGAGCAGGACTGGTGGGGGAGGAAAAAGATCTGATAACGTGGGAGGGTGTAAGCACGCTGGCTTACCTGAGTTCTCATAATCAGTACATATACCGTCGCTGATACTGAAAGCTAAGCTTTCAGTATTTCACCTTTTGGTGTAACGGTTATGCGTGGCGGCGGTCTGACCATGTTACACATATTCAAAGTTCAACCACCGCCGACGGACCGGTCCGCTTGCAGCCTGGAGCTGTGGAGGACGTGAGCACAAAAAAAGGTTCCTTGATCAAACACGTACGATAATCGGGTATCATACGATCATGGTATCTACTCGCTGCCTTATCGAGGATGTATTTCGTCATCGCCTAGCAGAGAACGTTAGAACGAATGCCACGGGACTTTGGCAGCCTGCTCACCTCGCGTCGTTTCTTGAGAGTTTTGTCACTTGGGCGTATGATTAAAGGTAATTCGAACTACAACTAGTGATGTTCAAGGCCCGGCTTCAGGCCGTGAGCCGGGCCTAGCCAGGCCCACTTAGGCCAAGCCCAGCCGGGCTTTGTAGACGGCCTATGAAGGCTTAGGGCCTGGCTCAAGTTGTGTCCAGGCCAGAGCCAGGCTTTCAGGCCACGGCTTTCAGGTACGTTTTCGTTCAGTCGGCTATGACCGTGAAACTGCAATAGTTTCAAAGCCTCAGCTGTCTAGGATAAACTAATTTGAGTTTTTGAATTTTCAACAGGTCACATCCGCATATGGTGCTGCGCGTCTATTCCGATGGCGAGGAACCACCTACTAGTACGGCACACCCTAAACGTGTTGCTGTGCCATCAGCGAAGGTAATTTGTGCGGATAACGCTGCTGATCAAGAATTAGCTTCACACAGGCGAGCTCACAATGATGCAAGTCGTGCTGCCAATGCTCCCTCTGTCATTTCTGTGGCAATACCTCTGAATCCCCCAAGTACCGCATCTCCTACAAGTTCTCGTAGCCACAAAGTCACCGTTGTTGAGGTTGACGATAACGACAATGATATCAAGCTGACAGGCAGCACACACAAAAAGCGACTGATGAAAGGTGTGTTTATACTATTTTGTTGGATAAGTACTGACTAATGCCTACATCACTACAGGCAAAAAACGAGCTTATAGCCCTGATCCTCCCGAACACGCAAATGAGACTGAACACAATGCAAGTCCATCAACTGGTGAGTTTTCCTACCGAACGAAACAGATACATAATACTGATATCTATTTGACATATGTAGTCAACGCACCGCATGCAACTAGTTCAGCAAACCACTCTGACGAAGTTGATGCTGACGGCTTCCTCAAGGATGTTCAAGTCATGAGCATTGACGAGGCCTCTGAAAACCCACGTCAAGAGCAGCGAAGTCGCGACATCACCAAGTTTTTTTCCGAGCCTTACACTGACAAAGGCAAGAAGCACCGGAATTGTCGACTGTGCAGGTAAATTTACATTTCTGTCTCATGCACATTGTACTGACTACGCTATAGCAAGAAAATGAAAAAACCCGTTGCTTTTGTCAATGAGGTGACGACTATGCGACGCCATATGGACGCTTCGCACAGGGTAAGTATTGCCAACCCGAGAAAACATGCCACTAACTGTTCATTATAGAATGAATATCTTACATGGGCCGAAGCTGAGAAATTTGTCTCGATGTTACCAAAGGACACCAAGCGCCGCAAGCTAGATGCTGCTGCTGACTCTCAAGCACGACTCGATGCCCACCTCCGTGAGCCGCAACCAAAGGAACAGATCATCCCATACTCAGATGCAATCTTCCGCGAGGCCGCCATTGAATGGCTGATTGAAACTGACCAGGTATGTTTTTTTAATTTAATTCTGGCAATTGGACACTTATCAGTTCACTGCAGCCTATTGACGCACTGAACCACAAGTCCTTCAAATATATGATTGATGTAGCAGCACGAGCTACCAATGGTGTCAAGCTACCTAGTCGATCAAAGACGCGCCGAGCCATTATCGACCTCTTCAAGCGTAATCTCACCAACCTTCGCCGACGGTTACTTGTAAGTCATTTGTTGATTTTTTTGTCGTTATTTCTAACACGAACCACAACAAGAGCGACACTGTCAAAGGACGGATCAATTTGACATGCGACGCCTGGCAAGCGTCGAATGTCGATGGCTATTTTGCCCTCACTGGTCACTGGATCGAAGAAAGAACAGTCGGTGTTTGGAGCGTTCAAAGTGCCCTTCTTGGCTTTACTCGACTGAACAACGCTCACAACGGTGTCCGTCTTGGTCAAGCGCTGTTCAAATTAGTTAAACGTGTTGGGATTGAACATAAGGTAAGTAAAATTCTAGCTTCATAACAGTGTGGCACTGATGAAGTTTCAGATTGGCTACATTACGTGCGACAACGCAGCCAACAACAATACCATGATGGAACATTTCGCCGTCCACATCGAGGCACACACCAAGAAGACATTCGATCATAAAAAACGGCGCCTTCGGTAAGAGTTTCTATGTCTTGTTTATTACTACCAATTCTCACATATATTCAGGTGCTTGGCCCACATTATCAACCTCGCAACTCAGGCGCTGTTGTCCACACACAGCAAGTCGAGGCACTACGATGCCACCCAACCTAACGACGATTTGCTTGCCCCCGCGACTCACTCCACACTTGAACGAGACGAGGTTGGATTAGTCCGGTCAATCTGTGTCAAGGTTTGCCGTCCGTCAAATGCACATATGTTTTGTTGACATTGTTCATTGTAGGAGCGCTCCTCAGCTCAACGAAAGGAACTTTTTCAGAGTGTCCAGCGTCGAGACGAAGATGGCCACACGCCAATCAAACATCCACAACAGCTGCTTCTCGACATGAAAGTAAGGTGGTCCTCAACATACACCATGCTTCAACGTGCATTCGAGCTGCGAGATGTAAGTTCAATTTAGGATGTCAATGTTGTTCCCGCTGATGTATATTATTAGGAAGTTGACTATTTTGTGGGCCGGCTCGGTTTGCAAGAGAAGGACTCAGCTAAACGGAAAAAGATTACGGACCTTGAGCTATCATCTGAAGAGTGGACCTGTGTTCAACGTCTGCTCTCAATCCTTGGTGTATGTATTTTTATCTTACAACTCGAGTCGCAGCTCACGTTGAAACTACAGTTTGCCGAGTTGTCGCAGCAGTCCTTCTCATCTGAACAAGGACCAATGCTTCACTTAGCATTGCCTGCATTGGCATCAGTAAACCGGTGAGTTCTTGCTGGGGATTATGCTGATTATGGTGCTTTTACATGGTCATATATTGCTTTATATCACTTTATATTACAATGTGACGAAAACCTTTCCTATATATTACGATATATAACGATATATGACGATATCTTCTTCTCACAGGTTCTCTGATGGGAGTCGTTGCATAGCGCATGGTCTTCACGTTCTGGACGTATCAAGTATCTCGATTTTGCGGAGGGCCTCGATGCTGGTATTGAGAAGATTACGAAGTATTACGAGAAGTCGAGTAGTTCTGACGCCCATATTATGGCGATGCGTGCGTCGTTCTTTCATGTACATAGTATTACTCCCACTGACTTTCCAACGACAGTTCTCGATCCGTCACAAAAGGAGACCCATCTTCGCAAGTATTGGGGCGAGGAATTGCTTGTCAAAGCACACAGACATGCAGAGGAGATGGTAAGTAAAGCTCTCGTCACAACACACTCACTAATGGTACATCTAGTACAAAGAACGGTATCTCGAAATGTACAGCAACGATCCCGACTCTAGGAATGGTGTCGAAGTCAAGGTCAGGAAGACAGGGAATCGCAAACTCGATGCTCTGCTGCAAGAGCTCTCTGACGGCGAGGATGACAGTGACTCGATGCTGCAGCCCACCCTAATCTCTCGCGCGAGTTCCACAAATTCTGTCACTCCCTCCGAAGCTGCGAATGAGCCGTGGCGGCACGACTTTCACGCTTACCTCAACTCCAAGGACCACCTTGGAGATATGACTATTGTGCAGTGGTGGGGCATCAACGCACCTCGATACCCAGTCTGGGCGTCACTCGTGCGTGACTTCCTTTCCATTATGGCCACGTCCGTGTCCAGTGAACGTGCATTCTCATCTGCTGGTATTACTATCTCCAAGCGCCGAAATCGTCTCAAACACGACATCGTCGAAGCACTGCAGTGCTTGAAATGCATGATCAAACATGATCTCCTGTTTCGCAAGGACCCATCTGTTGCAACCGAGTTCGTAGATGATGCATTGTCCGAAGATAAGACTCCTGCTGCTCTCAACGAAGATGATGGGTGGGATGATGTTGCTGAGGATTTATGTGAGAATGAGGAGCTGTTAGAATCAGATGACGAAGATGTTTCTATTCAAATGTTAGATGAAATTTGATTTACTTGCTACGTTTTTTGTATCACAAGGCCCTAGGCCCAAGCCGAGCCAAGCCCCAGCCGAGCCTGAGCCCTACCATAGGGCCTGGCCTTGGTTTGAAGCAAGCCCCAGCCCTCCAAGGCCGAGCCGTGGCCCCGGCTTTTGAGCCGAGCCGGGCCTTGAACATCACTAACTACAACTAGCGTCAGCAAGCCAAAACTCTGCAACGTTTGGTCTGACCCAGAACACGATCCAAGCTCGGTGCAGTCGCATTGCCAGAGGGATGTTGGCAAAAATCCATTTCTCGGTGTCCGAGTACGGAATATGTGGCTTAGATGTTTAGTTAAGTTGTTGAAATCATCGAACATGGTACACATAATCTCACTCGAGTGGTGAACCAGCGCGGGGTGCGAACGAAGTTAACTACTTCGACAGACGGGTCTTCAGATACAGATGGCACGAACTGTGCTCTTGTCGTATGTCATGTCACCACCGATTACCTGCGCAGAAGTCGTCGTGACTCACCCGGAGGAGGCATTTCCAATCACTGCAACGCGCTTATTCCGCAGATCTATCGAGCCTGGCCACTGTGCGGAATGAAACGAAACCCCTTGAAACTTCCCAACTCCAGGGATCTCGTATGGAATCCTTGGGGTATCCAAGATACCAACGGCAGATATCACGACATGGGCCACGCTCGATATTCTCTTGCCTGAAAGGACATCTTCTGCTACGATGACGTATTGTTGTTTGGCATCGTCCCACTCGGCAGATAACACTTTTGTGTTGAATGCGATGTGTGGATATAGATTGTATTTTTTCGAGAGGTCGATCCAGTAGGCTTGAATCTCAGGTTGAAGGCCATGCGACCGGTTCCAATATGGGTAAAGGTCCGATGATAAGCTGTACCAATGAATTTGGACATCCGACGAGCATCCCTAGAAGAAGTCTTGAGGTGAGCGATATTCTGCAGCTTCGGTCGTTGACCCTACAGGATATGTGTTGGCCTGGGCACAAAATTGTCAGAAGAACATGTTGCGTATCACAACAGCGCACCCTCCACGCCCCACCAACTTCAGACGCTTTCTCAAATATCTATTAAAATACTCAGCGATCATACCAGTTGTTTTATGGATGCACCCACTATAAAATCGTGAAATCCGAGCTTAGTTTTGAGAGCAATAGCTTGGGACAACCCGCCAACACTTCGAAGCGAATATTCAGTTGGCGTAGAATCAAATCAAAAGCGATATTTACCCGGCGCCGATAATGGCGACTCTTCTCTGGAGACGGTCAATCATGTAAATTAATGGCCATTCTCAATATTGTGAGCATTCCTTTAATACTTGCTCACCTCGTACGATAGACTTTACCAAACGAGGTCATATGCCAGCCCTGTCAAGCACTATTGCGCGACATTCATGCAATCCCCGTCAGGAAGTCCGTTACAGTATCCTAAATACGACTAGTGTGAGATATCTTACAGTCACCGCCAGGTCGAGACTCGGCAGCATTGCTGCATCAAGCTAGCTTGGTTAGAGCTGCACATTACTATGAATTCGTTGTAGTAGCTGCCATGAGAACTATATATAGAAACGCGGCCTGGTTGATGAGTCTGCAAATTTATAAAATAAATCGACATGGACACGGGTAAGTTTGATGTTCAAACCCTGATGACTAAGACTTGGAAGATAGAGAACACGTTATTTAGTGATCTCGGAGCGAACAAAACGCTGCGCTGACAACGGCACTTGCACGAAAGCAAAGAAGGATGCAGCATTGTTCGCGAACGTTAAACTTGGATAGCGAAAATGCTACTGACATGCTGATGCAGTTGGACGATGACTGTACACATTTGATAAGCATTTTAGGTCTCCACTGTCGATTCACTATAACCAAGCACTTGTTTCGCGTCAGACTCCAGTGCAACAGGTTTTTTATTGCCAGGTTTTATGCTGGAGGATGGTTCGATGGGAATGGTGGTATATATGATACAAACGCAACAGTCAAAAGTGCAATGTCCAGGATATGAAGTCAAATATCGTCAATAATGCCCGCTACAAATCAGATCACTTGTATGTACATAGGGAAACAAACATTAAAGCACATGAAGCTAAGTCTGCAATTGTACAGGGAATAGCAATTTCTTGCATCGTTCAAAGCTTGCTATAAAATGTTGTCTCCTCAGGCCTCATGGTCCTCTCTATCCTGCCACTCCTCATAATCTTCCCCATCATCAGCTAAAAATCCTCGTTGTAATCATTGTCACTGTCCTCATATATCTCCTTGATCCAGTTATACGCATACCCTGCTACTCATATTCAACTCAAAGACATGCGTGGTATAGAAACACACTCACCGTCTGACAGCGCAATGCGAAAAGTGAGACATGGATATTCACCAAAAAAGATAGCATCACATACCTAGATGTGACTTGGTTAGGTCATACTAGTGGAAAACCTAATTCTGGTGGCGTCAATGTCAAAAAAGAGCAAACATTTCAACAGATGACATCACACACCCTATGGGAATAGGACGTTGCTGAAGCACCACCATCATTGAGGTCAAGCTGCCACATTGACAAGGCAGGACTTTGTTGAAGAATTAGCATCAGGCAAGCAACCCAAAAGACAAGAACACGCACTCGCTGCGAGTGGGACGCGGCCAGAGCACCATCAGCATCAAGTAAGCAACGTAAAAGACAAGAACACATACTTCCTGAGAGTGGGACGCAGCCACAGCACCATCAGCAATGAGTAAGCAATGTGAAAGACAAGAACACGCACTCTCTGAGAGCGGGACATGGCCAGAGCACCATCAGCGTTGAGTAAGTAGGTCAAACGATGAGAACACGCACTTCCTGAGAGCGGGGCGTGAACAGAGCACCATCAGCAGCGAGTAAACAGGTTAAAAGACATGAACACGCACCAACTGAAAGCGGGACACAGCCAGAGCACCATCAGCATCGGGTAAGCAACTCAGAAGACGAGAAAACGCACTCGCTGCGAGCGAAATGCGGCAAGAGCACTATCAACATCAGGTAAGCAGGACAAAAGACGAGAACACGCACCAACTGAGCGAGGGATGCAAACAGAGCACCATCAGCGTGGGGTAGGCAGGTCAAAACACGAGAACACACACTTGCTGAGAGTGGGACGTGGCCAGAGCACCATCAGCGTTGGGTGGGCAGGTCAAAAGATGAGAACACGCACTCGCTGCGAGCAGGATGCGAACAGAGCACCATCAGCATCAAGCAAGCAGGTCAACACATGAGAACACGCACCAACTGAGAGCGGGACGCAGCCAGAGCACCATCAGCGTCTGGTGAGCAAGTCAAAAGATGAGACCACGCACAGACTGAGAGCGGGACGTGGCCAGAGCACCGTCAGTGTCGAGTAAGCAGGCCAAAAGACAAGAACACGCACAGACTGAGAGCGGGACGTGGTCAGAGCACCATCAGCGTTGAGTCAGTAAGCCAAAAGACGAGAACACGCACCAACTGAGAGGGGGACGCAGCCAGAGCATCACCAACGACGAGTAAGGAGGTCAGAAGACAAGAACACGCACCGCCTGAGAGCAGGACGCGTCCAGAGCACCATCAGCATCGAGTGAGCGAGTCAAAATACGAGAACACACACTTGCTAAGAGCGGGACACAGCCAGAGCACCATCAATGTCAAGTAAGCAGTATACAAGATAAGAATACGCACTTGCTGAGAGCGGGACGTGGCCAGAGCACCATCAGCATGGAGTAAGCAGGCCAAAAGATGAGAACACGCACCAACTGAGAGCAGGATGCAGCCAGAGCACCATCAGCGTCAAGTAAGCAGGTCGAAACATGAGAAGACACACCACCTGAGAACGGGACGTAAACAAAGCACCATCAGCATTGGGTGAGAAGGCTAAAAGACAAGAACACACTTCCTGAGAGCGGGACGTGGCCAGAGTTCCGTCAGCATCGGGTAAACAGGTCAAAAGACAAGAACACGCACTCGCTGTGAGTGGGATGCAGCCAGAGTACCATCAGCATTGGGTAAGTAGGTCAAAAGACGAGAACACGCACTCGCTGCGAGTGGGACGCAGCAAGAGCACCATCAGTGTCAAGTAAGCAACATAAAAGACAAGATCACGCACAGTCTGAGAGCAGGACATGGCCATAGCACCATCAGCATCGGGTAAGCAGGTCAAAAGACGAGAACACGCACGAACTGAGAGTGGGACACAGCCAGAGCACCATCAGCGTCAAGTAAGCAATGTAAAAGACGAGATCACGCACAGTCTGAGAGCAGGACGCAGCCAGAGCACCATCAGCGTCGAGTAAGCATGACAAAGGATGAGAAGACGCACAGACTGAGAACAGGACACGGCCAGAGCACCATCAGCGTCCAGTGAGCAGGCCACAAGACGAGAACACGCACCGCCTGAGACAGGACGCAAACAGAGCACTATCAGCGTGGGGTAAGCAGGTCAAAAGACAAGAACACGCACGCCCTGAGAGCAGGACGCAAACAGAGCACCATCAGCATCGAGTGAGTAATATAAAAGACAAGAACACGCACCATCTGAGAGCGGGACGCAGCCAGAGCACCATCAGCATGGGGGAGGCAGGTCAAAACACGAGAACACGCACTTGCTGAGAGCGGGACGTAGCCAGAGCACCATTAGCGTCAGGTAAGCAGGTCAAAAGGCAAGAACACGCACTCGCTGCGAGCAGGATGCAAACAGAGCACCATCAGCATCGAGTTAGTAGGTCAAAAGACGAGAACATGCACCAACTGAGAGCGGGACGTGGCCGGAGCACCGTCAGCATCAATTAAGCAACCTAAAAGATGAGAACACGCACTTCCTGAGAGTAGGACGCAAACAGAGCACCATCAACATCAAGTTAGTAGGTCAAAAAACGAGAACACGCACTTCCTGAGAGTGGGACATGGCCAGAGCACCGTCAGCATCGATTAAGCAACCTAAAAGACGAGAACACGCACTCGCTGTGAGCGGGGCGCAGCCAGAGCACCATCAGCATCGAGTAAGCAGGTCAAAAGAAGAGAACAGGCACCAACTGAGAGCGGGACAGAGCACCATCAGTGTTGAGTAAGCAACGTGAAAGATGAGAACACGCACTTCCTGAGAGCAGGACGCGGCCAGAGTACCATCAGCATCGAGTAAGTAGGTCAAACGACGAGAACACGCACAGACTGACAGCAGGACGCAGCGAGAGCACCATCAGCATCAAGTAGGCAATGGAAAAGATGAGAACACGCACAAACTGAGAACGGGATGCGGCCAGAGCACCATCAGCGTCGAGTAAGCATGACAAAGGATGAGAAGACGCACCGCCTGAGAGCGGACGCAGCCAGAGCACCATCAGCATCGAGTAAGCAGGTCAAAACATGAGAACACGCACTTCCTGCAAGCGGGACGCGGCCAGAGCACCATCATCATCGAGTATGCAGGACAAAGGACGAGAACACGCACCGCCTGAGAGCGGGACGTGGCCAGAGCACCATCAGCGTCAGGTAAGCAGGTCAAAACACGAGAACACGCACTTCCTGAGAGCGGGACGCGGCCATAGCACCATCAGCATCGAGTAAGCAAGCTAAAAGATGAGATCACGCACCGCCTGAGAGCGGGATGCGAACAGAGCACCATCAGCGTCCGGTGAGCAGGTCAAAAGTCGAGAACACGCACCGCCTGAGAGCAGGACGTGAACAGAGCACCATCAGCATCGAGTAAGCAGGTAAAAACACAAGACGCACTCGCTGCGAGCGGGACGCAGCCAGAGCACCATTAGCGTCGAATAAGCAACGTACAAGACGAGATCACGCACATACTGAGAGCGGGACGCGGCCAGAGCACCATCAGCATCGAGAGAGCAACGTAAAAGATGAGATAATGCACCAACTGAGAGCGGGACGGGAACAGAGCACCATCAGCGTTGAGTAAGCAACTCAGAAGACGAGAACACGCACTCGCTATGAGCGGGACGTGGCCAGGGTACCATCAGTGTTGAGTGAGCAATGTAAATACGAGATCACGCACTTGCTGAGGGCACCATCAGCATCGGGTTAGCAGGTCAAAAGACGAGAACACGCACCAACTGAGAGCGGGATGCGGCCAGAGCACCATCAGCATCGGGTCAGTATCCCAAAAGATGAGAACACGCACCAACTGAGAGCGGGACGCAGCCAGAGCACCATCAGCGTTGAGTAAACAGCCCAAAAGACGAGAACACGCACCATCTGAGAGCAGGACGCGGCCAGAGCACCATCAGCGTTGAGTAAGCAACATCAAAGACGAGAACACGGACTTTCTGAGAGCGGGACGCGGCCTAAGCACCATCATACCATCATCAGCATCAGGTGAGCAGGCCATAAGACGAGAACACGCACGAGCTGAGAGCGAGAGCACCATCAGCGTGCAGATTAGGGTTAGGGTTGTTGCGCTTTTAGTTCAAGACAGTTAGTGAAGCCTCATAGTAACATACCGTTTGCTGGACATGAAAGTTGCGAATAAGGTCCTCTAATTCAGTTCTGGGGATGTGGTCAACACAGGATTGTGTTTCCCGCTTTGAACTGTACCCGCGGGAGATCTGAAACCGTCGTTTGCATACTCGGCTTTTGGTTGTTAGGCGCTGTCAGCCCAAAAAACAAATATACTCACCAATTGATGGAGCAGCCTGCCTGAAGTGAATGCTCCGCGCCGGTGCGATTGACAGCGTCACAAAAATGGCATTGGTATTCAACGTCAGGCTGTGTCTCTTGTTTAAGGATGACCCTCATGACGATCGTCATGCCTGCTTCGAATCTTGGCCATTCATGGCTTGTAAGTCGGGTTACTTGCTTGTCGTCGTCGATGCACAAATCGTATTGTCCTTGCTCCACATACCGTCTCTGAGTTCGAGCTTGGATCGACTCGGATTTGAACAAAACCTGGAGCATATCATTGAGTTGCTATAGAGAATTTGATGAGCACGCTTCTCAACACGGATTTTACGCTGAGGAGGCAGACCTGAAATGAGGTGCAAAAGGTCACTGATATTGGATGTTCATAGCCTGTTGCGTCTACTAGTTTCACACAGCCAAGTGCGGTTACCGTGGGTCCCACAGAATCCTGCCGCTTCTGCAGAATTGCTAACACTTTCTGGATGTTGTGTTGATTTTGCATTTGAGATGAAAACTAGTAGTAAATCGGAATGGTGAGTGCATGCAAACAATCTTGAGATAATAAAACACAACCAAATAATTCTCCAGATAACGGTCGATTTCCATGGAGCATCCGGCGATAGCTTGAGTGACGGATGCATATTCGAGACGACAATTTTCCAACCTTGTCAGCTGGGCAGACGTTTCTTCCAGGATCCTAAGCACACTCAACAAAGGATGACTTCAAAAACACATCAAGAAGGTATATACCCAATTATGGCTTTCCTCCGGTGTTGTTCAACGGGATCCTGGGGGGTCGGAGCGTTGTACAGATATAAGCTTAGTTGTTGAAGTCGTGAGGTCAGGCGATCTAAGTCCGCCCTGTTCTGAGTACGTCTCTGTGACGGTCTTTGAATCAAGAAACATCCTAGTAATAAAATAAGCACTCACATCCATGACTTGAAGGATTGTCAACAATCCACTAATGGCAGCTTGGATCGGAGAACCGACAATTGGAATTGCAGATGCAACGCCCTGGGTGAAAGGACCAACTGTCTGAACGACGTCAGAAATTGTGCGGGCAACGGAATTGCCATGGGAGGGTGTGACAGAGGGAATATTGATGGAGGATCCGAGGCTTGGGTCCCACGCCGGAGAACCAGGGTGCACTACTAGTAGCAGTGATGAATTCGAATGGAGAGTGGATGAAAACACGGGAAACTCACTGGAAATATTTGCAGAAATGGAGTCATGGCCTTTATGGTAAGTCGTCGAACTGCACTGTGTGCGTCTGTTTTTTGCGGGGCGCTTCGACCGAACTGCGCATACTTTGCTGAGATGATTGGAAAATCTCTTGATCAAAGCCTTGACTGATGAAGAGGGCATTGTGTCGGGTGGGTGAGATGATAGCTAGTAAGAGGTCAAGGGAATATAAGACGTAGGGGATCGAAGGAGTCCTTAAGAGCTGGGTAGAACACAGCCCAGTCGTGCATGTAGAAACCTCGTGTATGCTGTATACTTATGTACATAGAATTCTGGAATGACTTGCTGCGAGCACACGTGGATCAGACCCTTGAAAGCTTGAAACATTGAAACATTGGCACGGTAGCTCCAGCGATCGCGAATCACCAGTACTAGTGGTGGTGGTAAACATGAGGCCTAGTCACGGCTCCACTTGGTTGCCGGTCCGACGGCCTCATTTAGACTTTATACCGCTTCCTTTTTGCCTCGTTCTCCTCATGCCCAAGCTTCTGATTCTTAAATGAAGCTGCGCCTCGCCCTTACCTGTGTCACTCATGATTTCAGGTCGAGTTTGCAGATCTCGACAGGCGCACGTGGGAAGTCTATTGTGTCGCCATCTGTCTTTGGGTCTTGCAAGCGTTTGCTCTATGTGTAATCAATATCGTGCCGGGTTCGTACCTAATCTCATCTTGATTGCGAACAACTTTGCAACGTTCAACCGAGAGCAACATGCTCACTGAGATCTGAGATCGTATTTTCTCAAAGCAGTAATTGTCGTTGTCCTCTAGGGTCAAGCAAACACTAATCGTCCCTTCTGCCTGTCCTGAAATAAATAAATATACAACCCCATCAGGGAAAGCCTTCCCCCCGAAATCGAGGTAATTTCCAGTAAATCCCTGGTTTTCCTTTGATTTTCAGCGAAATCATGTTTTACTGTTTTATTTAAGTCCGGTCATAGTTTCAACGAATTAGTTCGAATTCCAAGTGATTTCTTCTGAATACTAATGAATTAGTTCGAATTCACTCGTCGGTCATTGTCAAAATACACGAAAATCAACATTATATTGGATCAGAATGGCCTGTCAGTATGTATGAACGACTATCAAAATGTACAAAGTGAGATCAGTAATACATGAGTATCCGTGGGTGCACATGGCACAACAACCTTAGTTCAATCCTCGGACATTGCACTGAGATCGAGGTAGTCGAAGTTGCTCAGCGCACCAGATGGCAGCAACACATTGTCCGACACACTAACATAGTATGTTAATGGCAGGCATTCGATCAGAGGATGATGAAACACACCAGACAGCCTTGTAAAGCCGTGCCATCAGCGCATGATACTTCTTTTTACCGCCTTCAAAGATCCGAGTGAGGGTTGCTTCATGGGCTTTGTAAACGCTAATGTAGACAGTAGCATTGAATGATTTGACTTGAGAGCTCGACGGTGGATTGCCGCTCCTCCAGTCCATCAGTATGGCATAGATCTGCAACAACCGTCACATTTAGTAAGTATTCATCTAGAAAATACAAATAAAAAACGTACAACAGTTGCAAACATAGGTATGTAGCATAATTTTTTTGCACAATATGGGTTTAGGCGCTCACCTTTGCGCTCCAGTGCTTTTTTCTTTGAAGACCGTTGCAGCTCTTTGCGAGAATGTGAGTTTTTTTGGGTCTGATTATGACAGCCTCTGTACTCACTGCTATCTGCGATGTCATCAGCTATGTCTGGGGTTACGACCTCAGCGCCGGAAGACACTTGTCTCGCCGCTACTTTCTCTTTCTTTTTAGCATTCCTCTTCTGAGCAGCTATCTCAGATGGACGGGGAGGCATTTTAAAAGGTGAATGAGTGTTTTCTCTTTTCAAAGAGTGTACTGCTACGAAATTGAATGATACAGGACGCTGAGGGTAAAAAGAATGTAGCGGTCAAGTTGGTGGGCAGTGTTAAAGAAAAAAGTTCATAGTCTGCTGAACTTTGCATAGGCAGGGTTGCAAGGTTGCGCTGGGGCAGGGTTGACAAAGTTCGTAGTCCGCTGAACTTTGCTTGAAGCTTTGTTTGTGGCTGTAGGTTGTCTTTGTTACGGCCCTTGTTTTTTTACCACCAGAATGATCACTTGCCCAGGCTGCGCTAAGAACTTCGAGCTCGCTGGCTTGAAAGACGCGAGAAGATGTTATGGCACAATAATTTCGTCCAATGGCGCCTTGCTGGCGATCCTCCTCCACAAGACAGGTTACCGCCCGACATGGACTATCGTCGCTCGATCAAGATGATGAAACACCCAACTATTAGACGTGTTCCATTGGATAGTGTAGTTCGCGACTATGGCGCCACTTTTTTCACCGAAGCATTAGCTCGTTATGTCGTTCGCACAAATCAACCTGGCCTTTCTCCAGCGCAACTTGAACAAGAAGCTTCCCATGTCATCCTTCCCTTCCAGACTGTTGCCGCATTCCATAGGGTCAAGTTCCATGCAATCAATGCTCACGGACATCGTGATTCAACCGTTACCGTGGATTCAGTGCACTGTCAGCCACCACGAAAGGACAAAAGAAGGCAGATAGTTCCTGCGCGCTTCGACATGGTTTTAGTTAACGAAGATGGTGGTGGGACGACAGGTGTTGATGGTGCGTGTTTTTTGTACTAATCCCTTGTAACATCATGCTAATATTTGATCATCAATATCAGGGTATCGTGTTGCACAAGTGCGCATCATCTTCACGCTGACAAGCCAGGCTACAGCTGCCTTATTTCGCACACCTGGAATTTTGCCTACCCACTTTGCATATGTGGAATGGTTCACACGCCATTCGGGCAGCCTGAAGCAAACCATGGTTTGTATAAAATTTCCCGCCTCATTCGTAATGGAGAGCATCTGGCAAGCATCATTGACATTTCTGATATTCGCAGGAGTTTACATCTTATTCCAAAATTCGGCCCTGTAGCACCTCGTGAATGGACCAGTAGTACCGTTCTGGAGCTTTGTTCTACCTTCTTCGTAAACTCGTTCAGTGACAGGCATGCTTATTTAACTATTATCTGACTAGTACTAGAATCGACTACATTCATCTGAAATACAATGATTTCTGTGAAAATACTACATTTCCTGGAATTCAACCGTTTTAAGCTCGAGTTTGAATATTTCGGTGAATTTCCTGGCAGAGGCTTTCCCTGATGCCATCAGCACTTCAGATAAAACACAGATACATGTATATGAAGTGAGCTGCTGCGGAAATCTAGGAGCGTCTCTTTCACTCGGCAATCGATAATCTCCTCCTTGTATTGTTCGTCCTGTGTTCAGCCATCCTTCTGGCTAGACAAAGTAGTTGCAACATGTTATTTTGTCTACATAGACTTATTCATTGTTTCTAAATCTAACTGAAACACTGAATCAATATAAATGAAACTTCCAACTTGATCCGGCTCGACACCACAGATATTATGCACCACTAGGTCGGTTGATACGTTTACGTGTTCGTTCCTGCACAACAATTGTACTCGTACCAAATGCAACGGACAGGGCGTACAAACACCTACATGAGTGAAGGAAGACGGCGGTGGTACAAAGAGGACATCGATCACAGGCAAGCAAGCGGTTGTAAACCGGCGTTGACGTGAGTATTGAAAAGTACAAGACACAGTGCGCTCCCATGCAGTGCTGAGTGTCCAAGTATCGGTCAAAATCTGTGTCGCTGATAAACTGATAGGTGCTGAAGAGGACCAGCACCTCCATGATGAGTCTGATCATTCGCCCATAATCCTTACCACTCGAAATGTCACCACTTGCCCTCGTCGCTCTGTAGAAATTCAGTAAGTTAGACGGGGATTGGCAAGCATCGATGCAGATTACTTACCACATCTGTCATCGTGACTCCCCGAAGACTCGCTTCACGCAAGCAGCCAGAAGTAACGAGAACACAATATGTGGTGAAAACACACATGGCATGATGTTGCTGTTCATGAGAGATGGCTTATTAGCTGAGTGCGAACTCGGAGTCGATACAAATATACAGGAAGACTCTAATGCGTCGAAGCTCGATACAGCTTTTCAACACACAAAGTATGTGGATAACTCACTTAGGATTGGAGGCCACCACTTAAACATAAATTTTACGACCAACTCTTATACTCACCTTACAAAATGTCTAACACCTACAATTAGTAAAATCACGGCACGTCAATTTGTAAACTCATAAATAGTATTATACGTTTAAGTCCCGTGGCCAATGACTAGGGTGATGAGGATGATTTATTATGGCGCTGGATCAGTTCAAAAATAGGGACGCTCAAAGTTCGGGGGCGCACATGTCGCCCAGGCCCACCGCCCACGCCTACGACCCCCCGCACAGCAACACCATCCCACTTTGTACATATCTGTATTATATAATACAATGCTAAGGTAGTCATTGAAGGCTTGTGCAATAAACATATCACAGATGGCTCGTCACACATTGCACGAGCAATACCTGCGCTCATACCTCATCCTTATTGTCCTTCGTATCTTATTTCACCCTGCAGAGACTGTAGAAGAAGCAGCACAGCAGCTGCACTGTGACATATCTTGCATTCTCGCGATCCGGCAAACTCGCTACCTACAAGGACGATCCCCCATTGCCGCAAAAGCGAGTAGTTTACACCTTGCTTGGGAATATGCCAAAAGTCCATCTGACCACGACCGCTTTACCAACATGCTTCGAATTTCCCCTATGGTTTTCGAGGTGTTACTTGATTTAATCGAAGACCATCCTGTATTCTATAATAATTCACACAATTCTCAAACACCCATCCAGACTCAGCTTGCTGTCACACTCTATCGGATGGGACGCTACAGAAATGGCGGGTCACTAGAGGACATTGCCCGCCACGCAGGGATCTCGGAGGGTGGAGTGGAGTTATTTACGGAGCGATGCTTTGCTGCAATTGAATCCTTGCATGATGCATTTGTTCGCCTACCAACTGCCGAGGAGAAGGAGATTGAGAAGTTGTGGATAGATCATGAACTTGGATTTCGGGGAACTTGGTGGGAAGGCTGGGCAATGTATGACGGGACTATTGTTGTCCTGTACACCAAACCAGGCCTGAATGGAGATGCATACTTCACTCGTAAGTCAAACTATGGTCTCAATCTCCAGGTAAGCCTACACTATGTATCTGTAACAAAAATATAACCATCACATGTTGAACAGATCGGAAATCTACCCTCCAATCTCCGCATTGTTGATTACGCACATGGACTCACAGGCTCGGCACATGATGCCTCTGCATTCGAGCATACTGCAGCAGCCAAGCATACTGACTGGTTCTTCAAGGGCAAGCGCTTCCCCAGCAGCACGACTCTGTTTTCTGACAACTCTATTTGGGTTAGCAATTGCCAGATCACATCGGCTGTCCATTCAATTTCGGGAATCGCGACTCCGGTGTTCTTCTTCCGCATCACGAAGCACGACGACGGTGACGATAACAATGACAAAGTGTAAAGTGTTTATTTTTCACAAGTTTAATATTATGTAATATACAAAGTACATTTTGGGTAGGGTGGTGGGGTCGTAGGCGTGGGCGGTGGGCGTGGGCGACCTGTGCGCCCCCGAACTTTGAGCGTCCCTAATGTACACACAGGAAAGTCACACACACACACGCATACGACACACACACAGTAGTTAAACACACACATGTATTGTAGTATTGTAATATATTCAGTACTACAGGCGCATTTCCGGCAAAATCTCACTTGTATTGAAGAAAATTGAACACTTCTGATGACCGAAAGCAAAGCGGCCAAAGTTTCGAGTCTCCCTGGCCTATGAGATCAGCGCGCTGATGGCAGGTCCAGCGGTGAAGCGAACGCAAACATCTTGTGCTTTAATGGCGGTGGTACTGGTACTGGCTCGTGTTTTGGGATACCTGGTGAAGACGAAGCTGAAACGATGTGAGCCGTACAATCCTTCATACCTGGGGGCGTTGGAGGAGATGCTGTTGATGCTGTTGATGTCGATGTTGAATAACCTGGTGATGGCGTGTCCGGCAATGTGGGTGGTGTGATGTAGGAAGAATTGGGTGGAGGGAAAGCTGGCTTTGGTGGCGAAGGATAATGATGACCATATGTGGGTGTAGGTGCCAAAGCGGCTGGAGGAGGTGGGAAGGGATTCCTAGTAGGAGGAGGGGTTGTCTTAGATGATGAGGGAAGAATGTAAGTACATCTCGCGCTCCATCTGGTTAATTTCGCGCAATTGGAACATGCTGATGCAAAATCGGTGTACATACCCTCTTTGTGGCTGACGAGAATGTAAGACCGCGCTTCTTGAGCCAGGAGATGGACATGGCTAAGAGCAAGTTGGCGAAAAATTCAATGAGATTTTCATTGACAATGCCATCGGATGCAACGATGAAGGCGAGGATGTGTGAGATAAACTGATAAACTGATTTTTTCAAATAAACCAACCAGCATTTAATGAAGAATAAGTTGGCGGGATAGGAATTAAAATAAGAGTATAATAGTAGTATGGGCTCAGGATGAAGGATTAAAACGAGTGAGGAAGATTAAAGGGCAAATGACATAGGATTCAAAGGAGTGAGGGGAATTAAATGGGATGATGAGACGTTCGCACAAATTAAAGCCAAAGTTTGATAGAGCCAATGAAGTAGTCCGTCGTCCAGGGGTTGTGGAATGGACGTGACAATGGATCATTGACATCTGGGTGGCCGCGCAACAGGTCATTCAGTGTAGGTTGGACCGAAACGAGAGGCTGGAAGAGTGGCCGATTAGGTAGGGGCATTGCGGACACATGAGTCTGAGCCTTTGCGAAGTCTTGCAGGTCGATATCCTGGTGTTCTTCGTCCTTGATCAATGGCATCATTGGATTATGGCGTGGAGCACGTTTCTGAGTCAGTGGTGAGATTGACATCCCTTTCAGACTAGCTGGAAGGGCGTTGAGACTGTTGTCCGTATCAGAGTCACTTGAACAGAAAACTGTAAATTCCAAGTGTTAGACATTTGACTTCTGCCAGAAAATAAAAACTCGACACTTACGTTCAACTTTGCCTGAGGATCTTCCCGACTTGTTCCCCGTTTTCGATGCAATGGGCCGTCCATGAGCTGATTTTAAATATTATGTGTCAGTAGTGTTCCCATACAATTAAATGGTAGTACTTACTTCCACGCATTTTCTTCTGGGCTGGTTCTTGACGGGTTCCATGTTGCATTGGGTGTTTTGGACGCACTGAAGTAAGTAACACAATGAATTTTAAACACAGCGCTGCGCTCGAGAGTGTGCACGTGAGACTAACCAATCTTTGGAACTTGAGTGAATACATCGTCTTCGATTTTAAGCCCCGGGCCATACTCTTGTTTATGGTCGTTGTCATCACCGTCGTCACTGTCATCGCTGTCATCAGCTATATTGATAATGACCATGTCTGGGTCCCAGCATGCATAAGTATGCTCAGGTATGAATTTCCGGATACCTATCATTGTGCATACACTGATTAGAAAATTTAGGACGAATTTATTAATGACTCACCGATAAAAATATTTGTCTGTTGAAGTGGGGCATTGCTTCTGCCTTTGTACCGTTCGAGATGTTTGCCAGTTGGGAAGGGCTCAGGTGCGACACTCAGCCTGCGGTTCTCTTTTGAAATTAACACCCATTCAGATGCCCCATTGTCTGTAGCCTTCCCCTTTACATCACCAACCTTTACAGAGTCGAGGTATTCAAAGACTTTTGGAAATAGTCTTCGAATGTAAGCATCAACTTCCTCAAATGTCCAGTCCAAGCAAAAGCTGAAATCCACACTGCCGCCGTCCTCAGACTGATCTCCATCAAAGTGAGCACATCCCCTTCACTTGAACTTTGACATCTCTGTCTTGACAGGTGGAATTGTGGTCAACAACTCTCCTTTGTCCTTTCAGTCACCGGTAAGCTCATACTAGCCATAGCTTGTTCGAACTAACATACATCAAGGTAATTGACCAAGACGGCAATGGCACCAACTTTGATTGGGACATGACCTTGCTTTGAAGAGCTGGCCTGTCTCGAGGATACAATCCTGCCCTAGGCAATACCAGTCATTTCGAACACGCAAAAGTTAGGTAAATTACTCACTGGGAATTTCTGCTTTGCAGTTGGGCGAAATCCTGCCATCACCTCATCTCTCGCAGCCGTCACAGTAGTTGTATTCTGACTACCTTGTCCAGCTCGTCAAGCGAGCGATTGCTTGAATATAGCTGTCACTCCAGCTCGTTCCTTTGCAGTAGTGACTGCTGGTAGCTCAGCCACTGGCAGTACAGGTGGTTGAGGTCGCGGATGTTTGCTCTTCCCATGCAAACATTCAGCGCAAAGCTCTTTTTGGCCAACTGGAATATTGGTGGGTGCCGAGTACTCTTCACAATAGCAGGGTACTGATTCATCAGGATTGCCCTTGCAAAATGCTGGCTTCGGCATTCTAAGTGAGATGGAGGAGAGGACCGGAACACAAATTAGTCGGCGAGGTGCGGAATTTGTATACAATGGTCCTGGGTCCCTCCAAATTTTGTAAAGTACTACTTAAGCGACTCAAAAAAATTCATTTGCTTCAAAGTGATCAAGAATGCTAGATGCCTGAGCCCATAATGTTGAGCGAGTTCTCCAGATAGGGTCAGCCAATGATATCTCCACGTGATGCTCCCTCCGCCTTCCAACTCGTAGGTATTCACTTGTGTTTTCGTCATACTCATCTTCACCCTCCCGTAAATTGTATCCCTCCGGTACAATACCCTCCATGACAACCGCCTCAAGTATTTCGAAGAACATACTTTCATCCTCTTCGTTCCGAAAAGGAGTATTGCTGTCTGGAACCTCTACAGCATCATGCTGGACATCATTTGCTTGTTCCTGCTTAATGCGGTCAATAATATCATCTTCGGCTGGTTCATCTGCCTTGTCACTTGGGTGGCCAGCACCTGTCTGATTTCGATGACAGACAACCTCCCGGCCATGAATACCATAATAGCGCTGCAGAACTGTAGGACAGATACCCTCGAACTCGTCTTCATAGATACCTAATGATGCCTGTCCTAGAAGGCGCATATCCTTCATAGTTATGAGATAACAATTCTGCACTACTGAATATTCACTGACCTGAGGGCTTCGATCCCTGGTATCAGAACCATGAATAGGATGCAAATTCCATTCTTGTTGAAATTGTCGACAATCATCATTGAGCACATTTAAGAAGAGCACACTGAGGAGCCACAGATGCCCAGGCTTGTCAACATCGAGTTTATGAAGTCGTTCGAGCCTGGTAAAGAATCCCCGCCACCGGCGTACAAACTGTGTGCCTACTTCAACCCACAATCGTTCGATGCGAGAATTCCGTGTTGATCTAACATGCATTATTATTCAAGTAAATTTCTAGAGGACTCCACTTACGATCCCCATAGGAACGAGCCACGATTGTGACCATTTGTCGCAATCATGTGTGTGGCAACCTGAATATTCTCGCCACCACGATCTCCACGAATACGAGATGGGATGCCATATTCATCCTTTGCGTAGATGAATAAATCCAACACAGTTGATGCACGATTATTTGTGCTGACTCGTAGTGCTGTTATCTGTTGGTGCATAAGGTGTATTGTCACTTTTATAAATTAATTGACTTACAGTGCGACAATACCCGTCAATGAAACCATGGATGACGAAGCCCCATCAAATGAGCTTGTGATGACCATCTACATGCCATAGTGCATTTGGTCGAGCGACTTGGTATTTTCGTCTTCTGGTAACATGTCGTTCTCTCAGCCTTTGTCCCAGCCTGTCAACTCTGCGCAGGGACTGCCAAATGCGATGCTGCTGAACTCGAAAACCTTGGCGTCGAAGGAAGCCAACAAGGTACTGGAATCCTGATTCTGGTTTACTTTCTTTGAAAGTCCTCACAAGTTGATCGAGATCAGCATCACTAATTACTGTAAAGTGTTTTTCTAGGCCATGTTGACGAATAAATTTCCACAGAGTAGTGCGGGACACTTGGAGGATTCGTGCGAGATCTGGCAGCATGATGTGGTGTTGGTTAGATAGGGCTTTACTGACGAAATCGAAGTTAATGATTTTCTTCCGACGCCCAAGTCAACATTGCTGATGGCCCAGAGTCACAAGCTCCGGGATTATCACATTTGCCCGTTCAGCATTTCCCCTGGATTGAAGTATATTTAGATAGCAGAGTGTCAGGCAAGTGAAAGACTTACACATGAAGATTTCCACTGATATCCTTGAGCATTGCGGCTACCTCCCCAATAAGCCTAGCACATACTAGTAGCCAGTCATGCAGAAGCTGGTAAGCAGCAGGACTTGTATCACTTTCAATGGCTTCGAGCAAAGGTAGGGCCTCTGTGGACAGTGCATCATAGTGGTACGCCACTCTGGTTGGTTCTGCGTCATTTGACCGAAGTATTCTAATTGCAGCATTGTATATATTGCTGATGATACCCTCCGCAGTATAGACATTTTGTGGCCATCGATTCTCGTGTTCTGGTAGAGCTGGAAGATCCATGGTTGGTGAATAGAGGTGATAAAGCGGTACACTACATTTACGTCCTTTGTGCTCCGACTTGAATTCAAACTTCAATTGCAGACCATCATGTTTGGGGCCCCAAGTCTTCTTAGGTTTTGACACCGCCGTTTCTATATACTCGATGGTACTCATATTTTCTTGGTCAGATGTTTTCATTTGACAATACTGTAGACTAACGGTCAAAATGCAGGTTGAAAATGCATTGTTCAAGGTCCATGCAACTCAATTATCACGCACATCCATTGTGTTTGAGGAGATGTTTTCTGTTGGAAGTCAATTGCCGCTGACAGTAGGCATGGAAGGCTCAAGCGATGATCATCCAATTATCATTCCCGAACTCAGCATGAATATGTTCGAACTGTTCCTCTCAGTTGCATACAACAGGTAAGACAGTTCTTGAGGTACTGCATTTATTCTAAATGTAGGACTACGCAGTTGGAAACCCGAAGGTCCCACTCATGATGATGTCCTTGACCTTCTTCGTTTCAGCAACAAGTTCATGAGTCAAAAGGCTCATGATGTCGCCATCAATCACCTCCATGAACGTCGATTTCAACACAAACCATACGAACTTCTCGCACTCTGCCTCGAATTTTCAATTTCAAAGTTCTTTGTTCCCGCTTTTCGCCGTCTCGTCGAATTTCGCATCCGTGATATTCCAGGACCAGTGCGAAGGAGACTTGGGTTTGAAGTCTGGAATGCCTTCGTAGATCTAAAAGAACTTCTCGATGAGCATAACCGTATTGTTGCCTGCGAGGAGCCACCCATTGTCACGCATTCACCATACTGCACTGACAACACCGCATGTTTCATTGATTGGCGGCAACTATGGTGGAACTCAATGGCTCGTTTCCTCCTTGATGGCCGCAATCCTCAAAAATTCCATGAAGCTATCGAGCGCTTCCAGGAACTTGGGCCAGAAATTGGAAGGGTCAATCCGGAGTGCTGGAAAATGCTGCTTCAGACGGTGAAGAATGCAACAGCATTCTGTCTCGCTTTTGATCTCGTCGAGGAGACAGCTCAGCAGTTGTCGGCGGCCCTGATCACGGAGCCTGCCCCAATGTTGACGAAAGCCGAATTGGATACCTTGGGCTTGCCAAGCCATGAAGAAATTTTATAAATGGGACGGATATCCTCCGAGTCAATTCCTCAATCGTCATCTGATGACTTGGTTGGCGAGTCTGGTGAGACTCGGATATTTGCCAGGGCTGCAGCGGCCCAATGATTCAAGCCAGTTTAGTTAGAACAATTGACTTAAAAATGCACCTGTAGTACTGAATGTGTTGCAATACTACAGTACATGTGTGTTGAACTACTGTGTGTGTGTCGTATGCGTGTGTGTGTGTGACTTAAGTGTGTGTACATTTTTGAACTGATCCAGTGCCATAGATTTAGCTTCCCTTTCATTCATATTGAAACTAGCGACTTACTTCTGTGCAATATCATTTTGGCTACAGATCCATAAAGCCACAACTTGGCCACGGGCGTCTTCAATATGACACAATTATGGTATAATGTCCAAAAGTTATGACTCACCAGTAAGTGGCATCCTGCTGCGAATCGGTACTTTTGACTTCGTATGTCATTTGTTGGAGCAGTGGATATCATATGGCGGCAGTTAGATATACCTGGTCTATTCATTTGATAATAGATACTACATTATAATCCTAAATGTGATGGCCCGTTTGTTGCAATCTGTCACATGAGTCAAGCTGTAGTAACCATAGATTAGTAGCCAAACTTATGCCCTCTCGATATATGTTTCAAACTATTTTTACTGTGGAGCATCTCTTGCACTTACTTCGTTCTGATGCATGATTTCAATCTCAGGCAGTAATCGCATATATTTCATAAACAGTGACGAAAAGTAAAGGTTTCCCAGACACCTCCAGGGTATATGTATTGGCTGTCATTCAATGTCTCAATTGTGTAGCCTTGCCATGTTACACAATTAGGTCTACATGGGGGATACGCGATGCTGTGGCAGCAATGTGCTGTGTGTGACAATTCCAGCTTCGTTTGTCACTCTAGATCCATGCCATTCATTTGCGTTTCTGTTCAATGTTGAATAGCTGCGCATCCATTATATTGATCCCACAATGTACATTATTGTGTACATAGATAATACAAATAGGTAGTACATGCATTAGTAAAACGTATCACTGGCAGCGTCTGGCAGAAGTGTTAGCAACAGAGTATTGCGCTACATTCTGAGGCAAGTAAGTAGACACATTGCGAGCCCCAAATACCTTTCTACAAAGTGTAAGTAATGTACGAACAACAGAAAGCTTACAACACACTCACCTGTTCCACCAAACAAGAAGAGTGTCGATGGAGGCTTTGGCGGCAGGTGTGGGTGGATGCTCGAAGTAGTCGATGGTGTAGGTGTAAAACTGACGATGATCAAACTCATCATCAACGATACGCCAGGCACCACAGCTTGATAAGGCAAATCGTAACTGGGATTCCAGGTCCCTTCAGTTATCGTCGTGTCTAAGAAAATTATTAAACATACTTGGACTGCTGAATAGGCGATAGCTCGCGGTTGAACTGAGCGCATTCCTAATATTGTCGCAATGTTGGACCGAGTGCGCCGTTCACCTGAGGTCCTAGACCGCTTGTGCGATGATTCCTGGTAGCCCAGGGGTTCTTCTTCGTCAGGTCGTATCTCCCCAGCAGAGCTGGGGGATGTAAAAATATGTTTGAAAGTCTGTGCCAATAGGTGAGTACAATCCCTTGAAAGGAGATACTAATACCCACCCTGACGAGCCAAGCACTTTTGAACAGCCCTTTCGTCGGGTCATCAGGGTTGTATTTGCTGTTACTATACAAGAATGCTGGCCATGAATGGGCAGTGACTTGGAAGTCAGGTTCGTATTTTCGGATCCCTTCCTTCGTTCTATGGCTATAATCAGTATGAGGTGTAGTAAGCCGGTTAGTGAGGTCATACCTTGGATTGGCCCAATGGAAATCCACAGGACATAGAAGTTCCCCGGTCGCATCATGATAAAATCCACGTCCGGACTTGTCGACTGAGGAGATTGGTGGGTTGGGGGTAGGACGGCTCTCATTGAGCCACGAAGCCACTGTTTTCTTCAAAGAACTAGCATCATCGCCCCGTGCTGAATCGGCACCTTTATTGAGCTGAATTCAATTGGGTTTAAACATTGATGTGACTACTTGCATGACGGACAACTTGCCTTTTGATAAGCAACATTGAGCTGATATCCAGTCACTTTGAGAGTTGATAAGGCTGCGGACACATGGAACCCAGCTGAAGTAGCTGTTGAAATGACTGATAGGTTCGTTCCTCCCTAGAATATTGAAAACAGGATCAAATCAACCGACTGAAGTACTCGAGCATAATACCCACTCTTCCGTGTGTTGGTCATCTTCATCACATAGAGTGCTCCTTCGATCGTGCTCTCCGATAAGGTCCTCAACCCTGTCAGTTAAGCTCACGAGGCGCCGGATGGCTCGGCCAGCAGGGACATATATATCACCATGGCTATTGGACACCAGCTGCGTCAGATACATATAGAAATCCATGTTAGTACAATACCTTTTGTTGCGATGGCTTTCTCCCTGCAGCTCAGCATTTTGCTCTTCTAGAGCAGCAATGTGCCGTTTGAGAGCGTTATGGGTTGCATTAGGTGAATTGTTGTCAGAAGGACTCGGAGACTGCGACATGGGTAATAGGAACTTGAAGGAAAAAATGAGGGTGATTGACGTACCCAAGATGATAAGCTTTTCAAGCACCGATATTTGAAATTGACGTGGAAGCAAGATTTACGGATGTATAACAAGATTTATGCTTGTCAGAGCCGTTGTAACGGGAAGGACTGCAATGGAACCATGGCCAGATTACAATGCGCAGGGACTAAAGTCGAATAATTAATAAAATGCTCCACTCTGTTTGAATGGAGCAGACCATGATGTCGTTATACTGGACCCTTGTGGTGTTTCCGAAAAGAACGGAAATGTGGTGTCAGAGCAAATGGGTATTGAGCGCAAGCGAAACTCTGAGTCGGATCTCATTGTGGAACTTGTAGCGTCATTGTAATGTCATGGTGGGTCCATGCAAAGGCTCATCACTGGCATCAAAGGTGGTCGTGGGGGCGCTGTGACAGCAGTGTGATGTGTCTGTTTTGCTGAGAGCATCGCTGCAAAGAGGGATCTTTGACAATTGTGGGCTATCAGTGATCTGTTGTAGCCCCGTAGGAGGTGTTCTGTATCCTGGACTTGAGTTACCCGTTGAAGGTACAACAATTCAGATGGTGAGTCTGAACAATGTGTTGGGTCTTGCAGAACCTAGCTGCTATTCGACCCTAAAGGGTTTCTGGACTAGGCTTAAGGCTCAGAGGAGAGGAAATATCATAAAAACTACTGAGGACTCTGACTCATACTGGTAACTGGTGAAAAGATTGCTTGCTTATGTAAGCTATGTGTAGATGTTCAGGGACACCAAGCAACGAAAGAGATCAGGATCGACCAATAGGTGAGTAAACTGTGTCTGGTCTTTTGCTAATACCACGAACGAGAAGAGGAGCTTGGATGATGCTGCGTGCAAGCGGTTTCTTAGGGTGCGAGTCGGCGAAAGGTATCGAAGGATGGAGTAGGTGTGTGTCGGGTTTCTTCCTGCGGGTTTGCTCATGATGATGCTGTCGACGCTGAGTACCGATACAGCGGCTTCTGTTGCGAGCTTGATGGCCCACTGTTTTGCGGCTAGTGGGTCGAGAATCTTGAAGTTGGTAGCTAGCAAAGTGCCATCTCATTCGGCCTAGCATATGATCAATCAATCAAAGGATGATGAACCAGAACTAGTGAACTTCACCTCTATATCGACACCCCAGACTTCACCGCCCTCCTGCTCGTGCTTGGCCCACAACCGACTGAGAACCCCCCCACCCCCAAAACAGTTGGAGAGGGATAAGCATTCCAACCTGGGACACCTTCAATTACAGGTGGGGGGTGAAAAGACGGTAAGTTAATGCTCTGATCACATTACGCGGAATTGAGGTCATTGGAGTGGAGGACTGTGATGGGAGGAGAAATATCTTTGCCATGAACGCGCATGCCTGTGGAAGGGATATGATCTCGTGATGGTATGGATGAGGCAGAGGTGTCTGGTGTTATAGTAGATGAGAAAGCACTGGACCGCGAACTTAGCGAGTCGATTACGGTGACGGCCGAATCACATCGCGAGACATGTCCAAAGGTAGAATGGAACTGAGCAGGTCTAGGAGAGGTATAAGAGACCACCAAATCAGGGTTGGCATAGGGATGTACGAAGTCCTCGTGAGACAGGCGACATTGGGAAGTATGAAACGACGAGACAGTATCACTACGTTCATGACCTCGTGTAACCTCCGAAACTGGAGAGTATGGTGCGGGTGTATCTTGTGTGGAGGACGACGGCCGAGAAATGTGTCCCTTACTAACTGGAGGAAGACGAACCCCGAGTTATGGCAAACCGTACTATGACCTCGACTAGGCTCTTCGAGTGTGCAAAAGAACGGGGCGCATTCAAATCATGCATTCACATTTATTCGCAAATGGGTCTTTGAGAAAATAGCGTGAACCTGGCATTGGAGAAGGGTGACTTGGAGCTTGCAAAGGAACATGCCAACAAACCGGAGGACGACGCACCGTTGCAGAAGAAGCTTTGGCTCAAGATTGCATGATACGTGGTGCAGGATAAACAGGACAGTTGTGCCAGCCGTCCCGGGCCGCGTGAACCATTCCGGCAAATGCCGGAGATGTCATAAACAGCCAAAACGGGACATGTACGAATCTAAGTTACGATACGAACGATATTAACTCTGCATTAACTCACTCTAAACATCTACCGCTCCAGTAAAACATAAACAACAATGCTGATGCCAATGGAGGCGGAGGAGTCAGAAATCAGAATGCAGAGGGAAATCAGGAGCATCAGGTATGTCAAGAATTTTTTAATAAATCAGTACTCACTGGTATTCTACAGATCCCTCAACATCTTCTTCAACTCATACCGAGGCCTCGCAACGTGATGTTCACGATGACCGAAAGGCAGATAGTAAGTAACGAATCATTCAGGGGTTACAGTCTTTAACATTTCAAAGCAATTCATGTACGTTACATGGGCCGGCGCACGAGTCCACGTGCGTCAAGAACTCTACCAACCTGAGTTACCGGTTCAACCCTACCCTCAGCCCCCGGTCTGGACAGAAGAAATGTGTGCAATGATAGTGCTTTGGATCGCGAGGGAGCGCCAAATTTTCCAGATGGAGGTGGAGGAGATGGAGCGTCTCCTGGGACTTCGGGGTGCGCATTAGTGCTTCTAGATAAGCTGCTTTTAAAATTCTGAAATTTTGAACGGACTTACGGATATTAGACCATACACAAGTTCTAAGAGGCTGGAGGGAGGTTTAGCGACTGCACACATTGGACACTTGCGCGATATACGTACCATGTAACACCACCATACAAATCCTACAAAGTCGATCCAACCTGTATATGTTTTTGCCGTTAGTATTGTCCACTTTCCCGCACAGAGAACTGAACGTATTCGATTCAGATGCTAGGACCAAACACTTCGCCAGCACCGTCCGTCAACTGACATATCTACCAGGAGCATCAAGTGCCAGATATGCAATGTGCTTTAGCGATAAAAAAAGTGTACCAGACCCGACGAATGAACCTCCAGGTCACCGGTCCACACATCAAGAGCTTCACCAGGATCAATGTGCCCTACTTTGACAACCATCGAAGAGTCAGCTCCAGGTGAAGACTCCCCCGCAACGAAGTGAATCTGAGTTGTCTCTGGCCAAGCCTTGTCTCCCTGGTTTAACATCCATCAGGACTTAATGAACTCAGCACCAGGTAGAAAAATCTGACCGCTAGGAACTGTCGTGTCGGACACAAAAGCACCCTCTTCCCTCGATAATGTCATGACTGTGCAATTATGTCCCGGTCACATGGAGTCTTGGTCACGCCGAACATCGTAGGTAGTGTAGTTGACTTGAAAACAACGTGGTTGCTGGACTCGAGACAGGTTATTGATGAAACGCAGCTCATTCCTCTCAGAATCAGAGAACAGATGCTCATCACCATCATATTCGAGACCTGATCAATTGTCTGGACCAAGTTACTATAAGGTGAGATCGATTGTTCGCGATCAACCAACTTGATAGCCTTCGAAGTTGGTTGCGGATGGATGGATAGAGCAGCAGGTGCCGATTCTGGCGTCTTCCTATCTTTGTTAGCAGTTGGTGGGACAAAGTTGTCGGGCTTCATAGGTGGGGACATCATTGATTGAGGTGGCAGAGGAGGCATTCCATATTGTGATTGCATTTGTTGGGGGGCACTGCCTTGACCATGCTGACCCTGCGACTGTTGTAATAATGCGAGGATATTTGGAGGTAAACTAGGAATTCCAGTGTGCACCTGCCCTGGCTGAGGAGTGGGTGTCTGAGAAGGCATCTGAGCATATGGGTTAGCACTGGGGCCAGGCGGAGGAGTGAAAATAAATGGCAAGTGCCAGAGTTAGGATCTGAACTGACATATTTTGATAGATTCCCAAAAAAGAGATATATCGGCCATGCGGTAGACTAGGAATTCCAGTGTGCACCTGCCCTGGCTGAGGAGTGGGTGTCTGAGAAGGCATCTGAGCATATGGGTTAGCACTGGGGCCAGGCGGAGGAGTGGAAATAAAATGAGGCATGAGGAGATTGTGAGGACCGTGAGTCGTGTGTTGAAGATAACAGCCGGAGGTAAAAAGCAGAGCACGAACTAAATCAAAGAGCAGGTATAACTGTAGTGTCAGTACTGTAGCACAACAGATACTCGGAGAAAGGTTGATGTCCGCTCACTGCAAATCATAAGATAGATGCCGTCAAGGCTATCACTTTGCCCCAAGGGCATGCTTCAAAAGCTCCCGTGACAACTGTTATCACACTGAGTACATTCCATTTCAAGAATGAGCAGGCTTACCTTGATGAAGATTCTGAACGGTCTGTCTCAAAAAATGCGCACTGACTTGAAACGCGGCAGTTATGAAGAGTTGAAATCAGGGAATTAAACCAAGAAAGGCTAAATCTGTTAGTCATGACTCAACACTTGAGCTTACTAAGCCCAACTTGTCTCAAGATGTAGGTGCATGAATGATATCAAGGGTTAATTGGATCACTGGGACACTGCTTCAAATACACGTGCTAGGAGAGCAGTTTGCTCTTGGAGTATCATAATGATTTCTTTTCCTAACCCAGTGAGTCTCTCTTTGTCCCCGTTATCAGTGGTACGCCGCTTCTTTGCAGGTGGAAGTTCTACTTGTGAGTTTGTGATATCGCGAGCAAAGTCCCGGCGACTCTGAGCCTTTTCATGCTGAGGTTGATTAGTACTATGTGATAATTTGAGACAAGACCTCAGATGAGACTCACTTGCAGCCTGTTAGATTTGCAGCTGAAGCTCAAGTCACTTGACAAGGCACGTTTCAAAATTGTCTGTGGAATATTGACAGGAAAATTTTCATGCTGGTAACAAGAATGCTCATGAGCTATTTCGTCACATGGTATTAGGAAATATTACCTCCTGCTCAGCATCTTCTCTCGTGTTGTGTGTTGGTGATTGTGACCTTTGGGAATCCAATGTCTCCTGAGCATCGAGACCTGGTTTCGCTCTTGATTGAGAGCAGGCTTGACTGTATATGTAGTTTCCTTGCGAATCAGCTGATGCTCCTTGACCATTTGCGGGGAAATGCCATCTTTCAGAATCTGGTGAGTCTCTGACTCCAAGGATTTGTGAAGCACCGTCATTGCGACTAGAGCCTCGAGAGCTATGTTCAGAGCTTTTATCAGGATCATAAGGCATTGTGAAAGATATCTGACAATTGAACGCTACCTCGTCCTCCAAGTCAGGCTAGTAGTACCTCTTACCACCCTAATGATATCATTCGTGGAGCATCAATTACATTTCCAAGCACATGATTCACGGCGACCTGACTAGCGTAAGTTTTGCATATGCTGTATGGGGAAGAGACGAACAGGTGGTACTCAGGTGGAGCGCGAACACGAGGTGGACACGAATCGGTTCCGCATGATCAGATGTTCTGTCCTTACATGTTAGATTTTCCGAACGTGGTAAGCTGTACGTCAACCGTACTCGGATTCGATGAAGTGACACCAAGGCCAATGGGCCCCAGATTGGCCTGAGGATCGTGTCAGACAGTGGCACCTTTCTAACTTGAAATTCCAAACCTGTAACTCAGTCTTGAACACTGCACTAATAATATGCTCTGTTTGCCACACGATATCGAAAGGACAGTCTTTCAACTTGCAGCAGGCGTCCATCCTGCAAATGATGTGCACTCGTATGTATTGGTCGCCCCCAGAGTTCATGACTGGTAGGCAAAAGTCCTGAGATATGCTGGATTCAGTTGTGACTTACAAGATGGTAATAGGATTGAAGGATTGATGTATCGAACCGTTGTCCTTGCCAGTGAGGCACGAGCATGCCTTTTTGTTGATTCACTTCATTCTCGACCAGTATTTGCTTCTGTGAATGTCAAATCTCTCTGTATTCGCGGTATGGTGCAACTCGCCACAGCGGTAGAGGTCATACAACTGTGCAGTGGTATTGTCAACCTCGCCCTCTGGATTCTGCCAGAGGGGGATCATGACATGCTGGATCACCTATTGGATGGATTAAACAAGCTACCTTTATCACAGCTGTCTATCCACTTATCGACCGTCTTCCGTAGAACTGACATGCCATTCCTACCATCCATCTCTCTATTCAGCAAAGTCACCCACCTTGACTTGTTGGAAGGTTGGGTGCTTTGGGGCTCCCCAATCGGCATACATTGCCTAACACAACTTACACATATTTCCCTTCGACTGTTCACTGATCGGACAGCACCAGCCTTGCTGCAAATGATCCTTGCAGATTGCATTCACCTGAAGGTATTGGTTTTGCGTGTAACAGAGGAAGTTGGCAGGGTAGAAAAATGGTTGCAGGAGCACGACGGTCTCGATGATCATTGTATTGTTGTGACGGCCAAGAGCTCTTGTGATACCTGGAATTGCAAAACAAGTGATGGTATGAGTCTGTGGCAGTATGGAGATTATATTGCAAAGTGTCGAGACACGATACATGAATGTACATACAATTTAGGCCAAGAATATCTGCAATGATGGTATATGATCATATGGCATCATATGGTTGTCGTTGCACGTTTGTATTTGTTTGTCTGCAAGTTTATGGGTAACAATGCACCAAGTCCTGACTCCATTTCCGCCAAATCTAATATTGACACTACTTCAATCATTTGCCGTGTTACCCATGTTATATTACGTCGCTCGCTTACCAGTATACCATACTTTCTCCAATAAGATATGGTAAGCATCAGTCCTCCACAGTCTGCATTCAGTCTTGATCTGTGGTGCAGATCTATTGCCACCACCCAACCAATTTCTTGTTCCTCTTCAAATCTGGAAGCACCTCTCTCACACTCCAGTTCAGAGCCCGTCTTCCTTAGCTTTTGCGGGCGATCGTCCAGCCATCCTGGATCTGTGCTTGAAGATATGTTTCTGGACCAGATGCTCTCGTGCATCTTAGATCTCTGATTCCAACTTGCAACACTACTGCAATTGATCACCACGAATGTGCCATACCATAATTTCATACATTTCATTTGGGAATGCACTAATCTACCCATTCTGTACTAGTATCCGCCGCCTGCAGCACTGTCAGTTTAATATACAGTGTCTTATGCTCTGATCTGTGTGATCGTGGAGTGGTTAGTGTTTGTCGAAGTTCCTGCATGAACTTTTTTTACCTTCTGAGTCTTTCTATGTGGGCTCTGGCTGCAGCACATTTATTGTGTTGATGACATGAACATAGAAATTCATGATCATGAGAGGGCACAGGTTGTAAAATATATGAAGGCTTTCTGGAGAGACGATGCACATATCATCTAGAGTCTTCACTCCCATCAGTTTCAAAGGGGTGAGGAATAACTCTGGCCATTGCCGCGCTGGCTCATCATTACTGAGCTGCTCCATAAAGGCTTCCAAAGTGGGATATGGAATTGATGGGTCGGTTTCAATCTCCACATCGATGAGTATGCTTGAAGTGATAGTAGTTACTGACATGGGGTCGTGATAATAGAGGAACAATGACTTGGACTCAGACTTTAATGCGCGGCTGTACTCACTATGGCATCTTTATAACAGAGCTTAGGGTACTACAAGCTCCAAGGATGCTACAAGCTCCGATCCTAGGGCGCAACATGATGCGACTTGGCAGTGACTCGGACTCAATGCGGCGACTCAGTGAACTCCGATCAACTTACGCATGGTTCACGCTAAGCTTAATGTAAACTAAGAAGCCGCAATATATGGTCATGTATTAGCCTCACCAGTTTGATCTGAGTCATCACTAGGTTCTGGGGTATTCAAGTGATCCAAACTCCATGGGTCTTATTGGCACTGCGTTCGTTGTGTCATGATTGGAGTCAAAGTTTTTGTTTGTGGACTAATGGAGATCAATTAGATAATCGCACGCACCTTTACCTGCCAGCAATTGAACAGGCCTTCAGCCCAATCGCAATTGTCATGTCCACGACCAGCACAATCACTATCAGGAGTCATTCCTCACAATCCCATAGCCCTAAAAACAACAGCCAGGGCAGGCCTACTTGCAAAGTGAAAGTTATCGAATGATACAAGCAGCCTCCAACCAGGTCAGCAACGAGCTGGGGGAGAAAGCCGGCGACCAAGGACACTTCTACATTTCAACCCACCCTCCGTGAAGTCAATCCAAATTTGACCAAGGCTCCCGTTACTGCACGACACAAGGTGCTTAAATTTGTCTCACAATCGAATGGTGAGGCAGATTGCGAGGTATGTCTGTGCGCTTCAACATTCATTTACTTAATCATTATGTTGCCAGGTATTTCAAAATATCACTCAAGTGGACTATAATTATATATCTTGCAAAATCGAAGACTACCCTGCAAGACCAAGGTAAACATATTCCAATAATTTCTTTCGAGTTATAACATACAATTCTTCTAGGTTGGAATACAACTGCAATACCCATACCCTTGTCGTTGAAATGCCATCCCCCGTACACGAGGCTATAATCAAGGTTATCAGCAAAGGATTGGAACATCTAGACGATTATTTGCAGGATCTCATGGTCGAGAATTTACTGTCCTCAGACACCCATACTAACTTGACCATTGACGGGAACTTGGTGAAATGTGTCCCTAATGTTCTCCACATGGTTACTGCCCTCACCGACCCCCCCATCCTAAGCACTCCTGTCATGGGCGAGGTGGCTGTATCGCAGTCCAGAGCTGATCTACTGCAGAGGCTCAGGGACAGGGTCGAGGCATTCCCAGATATCATCCTGCTCTTCATGGCCGAGATCAATGAACGCGTCACCTACAGCCAACCCAAGCATATGAGCAATGCGTGGCGAAAGCTACAAAAGGATGAGAATGCTCGCTCCCGCACCACCTTCCTTTCCAACCGCACTGGATCAAGATCACTCAATGTACCCGCTGAAATTGAAGTTGAAGGGCACATCTGGCATGCGATGTCAAGCGTGCATTTCCAGGTCTGGGTGCAAGACGTCAACGGGCGAATTGACATAGACATGCAGAACCCAAATCTCACAGCACGTGGCGTAAGTCCCACCGGCACTAAGCGATTCGTGACT